CCACGTGTGGCTCCGGCAGCAGACCAGGAGAATTGCCGAGGAGGGACACAAGGGAGCAGTTATACGTAGCTCTGTTCCATGTTTTATGCCCAGCCTTGGCCAGAGATTTCCAAATGCTGCTTGGGGCAAAATCAAAGCATTTGGGTTACACCGAGACAGGTGGATGTGACACCCCAAAATGAACTTCACAGGGCTGTTTTGTTTTCACTGCCGCTAAGCATCTTGCCATGGGAGGAGGAGGAGGAGGAGAAGGAGGACAGTGCTCACAGCTGCTCATAGGGTCTGTCCCTCAATGATTCCCAGTGAAGTTCTGCAGCAAAGACTGATGGTGAAGGAGGAAGGATTGTCTGGAGAAGGCACCTTCTTTGCTCCAGCACCTGGGCCATAGCACCACGTTCCTGCCCACCCGCAGGCAGCCAGAGTAAGGCTGGCTGATCCTCACTGAAAGGAGGATGAAAATCAGTTGAAGAAAGAGAGGGCTGGCCCCTGCAGCAGAAAGGGGAATCCCTTCTGTCAAGCTGGAAAGGAGAAACTTGGTTTCTCCTCCCTCACCCCAGCAGCTCCTCTCCTCCAGGCCTCAATCTTGCAGCTAATAAGACATTTCTGCACATTGTTTTGGCTCTGGATTTCTTCTAACCCCTCTCACAGACATGCACGTGTCTCCTTCTTGATATTTTTCTGTTTTACTTAACAACCAATTTGGTTTTCAATGTGATATCTCCTGGAACAGCCAGTCCCAATATTGCCAACCTTATCTACCGTTCGACCGACAAGTATCGCTAAGAGACTTTTCCAGTTCCAGAAATAAGTTATCATCTAATTAAGTTTGTGATGAGCAGAAGGAGAGCTCCTATTTCCCTCAGAGTTGTTGCACCACATCAGCTGGTCAGGCTTGGAGCTCAGACAAGTCCTGCCACACTTCAAAGGCAAGGTGCACTGGAAACACCTGCTGCGTTGCACCATGGCACATCCTTGGGCGCAGAGCCTCCTCCCCAGCCGCTGAACGCTCCTGGACGCCCAGAGGAGCTTGATGCAAGACCCAGATCACCTCTCCTGCCTTCTGCCAGGGTGACTCACTTCAAATCACGTCTTTCCCCCTCTCATTTCAAGCAGCACAGGACCAAGCAGGTCTCTCTCTGTACTGAAGAAGACACTGATGCTGGTGTTCAAGGTGCCAACAGTTTGGCTACTGTTTTGCTTGAGCGTGGCCACAGTGTCCTACCCCTCAGCCCGTGCGTGTCCTTAGAGTAGGGAGAAGCTGTTGCACAGAGGACCAGACCACAGCGTGTCCCAACACAGTAGATAAATCAGCGTGGTTCCCTCCAGTGCAGAGCACAAGCTGGGCCATGCTGATGATAAGGTGCTTCTCCATTTTCAGGAGATGAAAGCAGCAGCAGGTTGGTGCCAAAGCAAAATCTGACACTGCCCAGCATGGAAACTGGGATACCAGTGGAAGTGGGACAGCAGAGCTGGGAGAAGGTGGCAGCAACAGAAAAGAGTTTGATGAAAAGCTGCCTGCAAATGTCTCTGATCTTGGCAGCCACTTGGCCTGGGGATGGGATGGGACACCCCCCGGTGGGGCAGGCTGTGGGGCACACACCTCCTCCTCACATGCAAGAGACAAAGCATATCAGCATAGCTTGGAGAAAAATGGCCTGGTCCTCCTGAGCAGGAAGCAAACAGGGGTTTTAATCAAGACCCTCTGGTGTGGGGGAAGGCACACCAAGCATGGCCATCTCGCTCCCCTCCATGCCTGGCGCTGACGTTGTGATATCTGGAGAAGAGACAATCCTGTCTCTCCACAGGCAAACATTCCCCCAGGCAGGTGGCATCTGATAAACCTCAAACAGATGCGCAGGCACCCGCACGAGTTTCTCAGCCCATTTGTCACCACAGTCAGCTCCGCGTGGCTCTTACCGAGGAGGTGACTTAGCTCACGAGTGGGCTCATTACTGATGCTTTATGGAAAAATCAGAGAAGTAGAGGGTTACCATGGAAAGCGTTTCCACTAACAACCCAAACCACCTGCTTGCCAGAGTTCAGACACAAAAACACAGCAAATGCCTCGTGCCTATTTATGGGTAGTGTTGCCCAACTGAAGGGGGCTTTAATGAAGGCACCTCAAGATCATTAGTTCTGCTTTCTTAAGAACAGATAAGTCAGTCTGCAGCTTTTAAGAGGAATTCAATTATGTTAATTAGGTATCAAGAGGAAGCCCTTCATCTTCAGAGAGCTGCAGCGGTAAGAAAAGCAATGCTGTGCAAGCACCTGCTCCACCTCTGTCCTGAGTCACCTTCAGCCAAGATTTTTCATTAGGTGGCAACAAGCACGTCCTCACATAATGCTGCATCAGTATGTCATTTGCTTCTCATTACAGAGAGGAGTCGGCGCATGTGAGCAAAGACGAATTTTTAATCCATCCTGTCTATCCTCGACTCCGCTGCCAGGTAGGTCAAGCTGTAATCGCTTCAGGGTGAGCCTTTGGGAACTGGATTTTAGGGCAGTGGGTGGAATCCCTCCATTACACTCCCACTGCTCAAGGTGCGTGCACAGCTAACTATGGAGAGACCTGGCACCCGGCCCCACAGCCGGCACCAAGACCTGAAATTACAGATCCCTTGCTAGGGACGATGCACATCGGCCAACATCTGACGCTGCAGTGAGCTGGGCTCAAGACAGGGACAAGGGTGATGAGGGGGGAAGAAAATGTTGCAGAGCAAGATCTTAACGCCACTTTGATTAAAGAACTGGGTTCTGAGCAGAGTCATTGCTCATCCAGCCACTCCCTGTGACGCTCTGTAATTGTGGGTGTGCGAGCACCGGCAGCGCGATGGACACGTAGCAACTACAGAGCACTCCGACGCTGCATCTCCACAGTCCGTCACGGAGCTGAGGCAGAGCAAAAATCAGCAGGGCAGTATTTCCTCTGCTGCCAAGGATTTCCAGGGAGCTCAGAAGACACAGGCTGCTTCTTGGGGGAAGCAAAGCAGCAGGGAATGGGGTCAATACCAGTGAGGGGGGTGAAGGCACAGCCCTGCTCCTCCTTGGGTAGGCAAACAAGACAGTGAAGACCAGCACCAACTCCGTGCTTGGCTCTAAGTGTGGTTCAAAGGGTATTTAAAAAAAAAAAAACAACAAAAAGTCTACGAACAATTTAAATGGCCATAAAAATCAAACTGCAGCCAAAGCTGGAGCTCCAGGGCCAAAGCCTCCAGGACTGTTTGTGTTTTGCGAGCACTGTCCTCACAAACACTGGCTGAACATTTAATTCAGCCTCTTCCCCTCGCTCCCGCAGCCTCGCGGAGGAAGAAGAGAGTGGGCAGGTTGGAGACAATTCCAGGAACATGTTGTTCTCCCCTCCCCATCCTGCCAGCAGCCACTCTGCACTGGGAAAGCTCATGAAACACAGCAGGAGACGAGAGGTTAGGTACAGGGCTTCTGAAACACCCCCTTAGATGTACTCGGGAATTATCTCTGTGCTAAATCAGTCATTTTTAAAAGCCTACAAAAGGTTGGGTTGAGATCCCTGGAAGTGGAAGCAATGCTGCAGGAGAGGGACCGGAGCAGGCTGAAGGCAAAGAATGAACCATTTCCCCCCTCCACCAGTCCTGGGCCATTTCTCTTAAAGTAGGGTGGAGGGAACCTTGGACCACACAGAACAGGATGCTGGTTTTGGTGCTTTGCTTACAGGAGGCTGGAAGGCAGCCAGGGTCAAAGCAGCAGACAGATGGGTGCTAAATGGGGTTTAGAGGTCTTTGCAGAAGTATTCAGAGTCTCTTGGATCCTGTTAGGTCACCTTAGCACAGACAAAACTCCTCTTCCCAACAGGCCCACAGAATGCATCTGGCTGGGAGAAGTCTACAGAAACAGCTTCAGAGGGATTTCGGTCCCACCTCAGGCCAATATTTTGGTACAACCCTGTTTTTTTTTACTCCAGATAAGTCTCATGGAACACCTCTGTCCCATCCATCTTAGAAGCTCCTGCATCCACCCAAGAAGACCATCCTCCAAGTCACTCCAGATGCCCTCCCCAAGCCTCAGACACAATTACATGGGGGAGATATGAGGGATGAGGCAAAAAGAGTTGCTGAGTGGGAACTTTTTATTTAAAGAACCTGATGGCCTAAAATAAAAGTTGGGCAGCAGAGAGCGCTGAAAAATAAACACGAGCAACAGGTTAAAAATCTTTCTGCAGGTACCATCAAAGTGATGCACTGCAGGTTATGGGGAAGGACAGGAGTGAACAAGTGTAGGCAGGAGGTACAGGAGCTCTCCCCTCAAGTGGCCCATCCTTATTAAAGCGCTTATTTTTCACTGGGTGGCCCGGTCCCATCCCCCAGGACTGCCATGAACGTCCACCTCACACCGAGCTACCAGCCAGCACAATTAAAAGCTTCAAGCTAAACACGAAGAGGCAACCTGCTCTTCAGAGCCGTTCCCAAAACAACCCCATAGGCACCAGAGAGAAGAACGCTTAGACCCTTGCCTGGACACGTGTCTAAGTCTCCAAAAATAGCTCCCGCTTCCCCTTTGAAAAACACTGCGGTTCCCAATGCCTCACAGGAACTCTGCTTCTGCTCAGAGAAGCCACAAAATAAGCGAGCAGCCCAGGATTCATCTATGAGCACATCTGGACTAGCCGAGACCGGAGAAGAAAAAAAAAAATAAAGATTTTAAACAGCATGTGTCAAATCTGGGGACCTTTATTTCTCTGGAATGCAAAGAATTTGCCAGCCTGGACAAAAAATTGCAGGCGGTGATTGTACATTCTTTCAAATAAAAAAAAAAAAAAAAGAACACACACACACACACAAGTTTGGCTCCATAAATTTCTGTCATAAGAAACAACTTTGAATTGTACACCAAGCTTTTTACAAAGCATCAATGTTAAGATGGTTTACCGTGCTCTATCACATTCTCGGCCATTTATACAGAATATGCCATACCAAATGCTACATCAGCTTACGACATTCTTAAAAATTAGTATTAAAAAGATACAAAGGCATCTCGGCTTTCATTTGGGTTTTTTATTAAGACATGGGAGTTTTCTTTGTTTGTTTTCCTAAGGAAGTCACTAAAAAAATATAATAACTTAATTCGTAAGGACAAGATTGGTTAAAAATCCAGCCTTGCTCGCTTGGCAGCCTTCTGAGCTCGTACCTCTGTAGCTTCCATGAGCCTATCAGCGACGCGGGCTGCAGACGTGTCCCGCGGGGCCGCAGCCTGCGCTCCACATCTGTCCGTGCCCTCAGTTACCGTTTCCGTTCAGTTTTCACCGCGGCCAGGCAATATTCCCGGCCAAACGCTAGAAGCGATCTTCAGCCAAACAGGGGATTTCAATCTGGGCCAATTTCACATGGGTTTAGCCCTTTGTCTTTTGCCTCTTTGTACATCCTTTGGAAGTCTTTAAAACGAGGGGCACAGCCTAACCTGGCCTCCCCAAAGTGCATGCGTCCCGTGAAAAGGAAGTCTCCATCTCCTGGTTTCACCCCGCACTCAAGCAGGGTCTTTATTTGTCCTCGCCAGTTCCCGCTCTCCCCGGTGAGCTGAAAGACTTTGCTCTTCTGCCTGTACAGTTTGTTGACACCAACGTGAATTATGGATTCTTGCTCTTCTGCCTCGTTCGTGACGTCTTGAATGGAGCCTCTGATCACTGGAAACAGAAAAAGGACGTAAGGAAGAGTTACCCAAAGCACCTCCAGAAGAACCAGGTCCAAGCTCAGCCCCATGCAACCAGGCAGTTCAAGGGGAACTGATTTCACTACAGCAGCCCTGGTTTCGGTCCTTTGTTATTTTTAGAGTTAATTTTATATCAGTAACCTCCAGCATATCTTTGTATTTGTTACAGTTTATATTTGTAAGCAGTTCAGCAAAGGGAACCCACGTACTACATTTAGACCCCAAAATAATTACATCAGAAAAATAGCGTCAGTCATGATAAAGAGTTCTAACAGCAAGATACATGCTTAGTGCTCCCTGACAACGTACTTTCTGCTCTTCAGCCATTACAGATACCAGCTATTATTAATTTCCTCTTTAGAAAGGGAAGTGTGGAGAATTATTGAAACTTTGGGTCTCTCGTCAACAGTCCATTTTAGGGCAGCAAGTAAAGGCCTCTCCTAGAGGCACTCAAGTCTTTGAACTTCTGCTTCCATTGTGGTTGCTGGGTCATTCTCTGTCCACCCTGGCGACGTGCCAGCTGGGCACACGGTTTTGAGGTCCTTCGCACCACGTCCTCCTCCCTCTCCCATGCACACAGTGCCTTTAGACCACCATTTACTGCTGGTGGAAGTTGCCAAGCATAAGCAGGTGTCCATCCGTGTTCAGGGATGTCACCTTCAAGGGAGCCACCTTCAAGCGAGGGGAGAAGGGAGGGGAGAAGCAACAACTCACCAAAATCACTAGTGCAGACAGCCAAGAGGACCTCTGTGTCACTGCATGGTCGGCAGGAAGCTGGAGAGATAGGGTCAGAATTAGCAAAGGACTAGATGATAGTAAATAAATAAACCAGTATTTAAATTAACCAAAAACAGGGGACACACACATACACTTACACACACGATACAGGGAGAACTGGTCCAAAGACTTGTCAGGCATCAATAACGCTACAAGAAACGGAGGCCAACCCTAGCTCCCGTGAGATTTTTGTACTTAAGTAGGAATATGGATCTCTCTAACGCTCCTGCTGGGATATATTATCTAGCAAATACCCCACACAGTCGCTGTGCTCATGCAAAATATGTTTTGATACCGGGTGCCTTTGCAGCGTGCTCTGCTGTAAATTCAAAGCTCTCGAAAAGGCTTTGAAGATCATGTGCCTTTTAAACTCTGATGGCAAAGCTTCTTTCTTACAATTTCTGTCAAGCCTTGTTGGGCTATTTCACAAGCCATCCAGTCTATCACCACATCAAAGATGCAGGAGGTTACAGAATGGGGGAGGCAAAGAGGGGAGGAAAAAAAAAAAAAACAGCACATGTGTTGGAGGGCGTCGAGGCAAAGCGGAAACTCGAGCCTGTATCTGTTAGAGCTCAAGCAGCACAAAGACCATTTCCTGTACTGCTGGAAACATTTGGATATCTGCAATAATCTAATCAATGCAAAAATGTGGCTCCTCTTTGTACTCAGCCAGCTCTTTCTAAGGAGAAGGTACTGTCCTTGCAGTACAGATGTTTCTATAATACCCTGTTGAGTTGAGGAATTTGCTTAGTCCGAGGGTCTGCCCTGCCCAGCGATGCTAATTAAGTCTGTCCGCTGGCGGCCCAAGGATCAGAGCCCACGTCTTTCACTCGATGTCATCCTGAAGAGGCACTCACACATCAGCAGAAAGATGAAAACCCATCAGGAGCGCTGCTCTGCGTGGATCAGTGGGGGCAGAGACTATGAGGCTCCGGCCGGAGAGGCAGCCAAGCGTTGGAGCTACAGCTTATTTCATCATGCAGTCCACAATCAAGCCCCAAGCTGAAGCTACCCACTCTTCCCCATCCCCCAAAAATGTAGTTTTTGAACCTCAACATCTGAAAACACTTAGTGACGAGATTCCCAAATAGTCACACCCTTCCTCTCACCCCCACCTGCTTCCCGGAGAAGTTTATCCATTGCACTAAGAAGCAGATTTAAACTAGTCTAAACACTGAGCTGATGCCCATGATGCTCAGCTATTAGCCCTCCTCTGTTCCATGGCACAAGCCATTCTTTAACGTAAGACACGGCAAATCTCTTATTTTTTCCAAGGTCCCAGAAAGGCAGTGATCCAGAAAGAAGGATTATTGAACCAAATCCACCAGATTTGCTCCAGTCAGATGATTAATACGCAGTGTAACACGCTGTTTAATAGGATTAAAGAGAACGTAAAATGCACATTTCTGGGCAGGGATATTTGAAAGAATAATTCAAGAAGGTTAAAAAGCTCCAAAAGAAGAGACAAGAAATAGGCAAAATAGTTTTGTTGAAGCATCTGCATCAATTGAGCATTTCTATTTAGTGGAGCCTGGATGCCTCCAGGGCCTTTAGAAACAAGTCAGCCTTTACCACCCTTCTTTCCCTCCACACACATATGTTCAGCTCTCTTTTTTGGAAAAGTTTAGAAACTGTTTAATATTATGGGAAATACAGAGCCAGACAAAGCCTGGACATAATTGGTGTACTATAATAAATTCAGTCTAAAGATATTATAATTTTTAGACTCAAGAAGATTTTGATTAGGGGCTGGACCAAACATCCAAGTTTCATCTGACAGAGAAAATTATATTAGTCACATAACATCCTACTACGGAGTTGTTTCATTCGTGGCACCTACCAAATTCGTGCTCCCCAGCCTCCCTCTGCCCAAATCAGGACCTGATTTAGATCAACCAAATGGAGGGAACCTGTAAACCTGGGCGAATCTGACAGCATTTTAACACGGACAGACATTCTAAAACAAAGCCCAGCTGATGGACATCCTCAAAATCCACAGTTGGATTTCAGACACTGGATTTCAGATATTTTGTTCTGCAAAGATCTAATAATAAAAAGGCATCTCGTTCTTTTTAAGTCTGAGTGAAAACAGTCTTGGTTTAGACCAGACATCTCTGTAGTTCATCCAACCCCATCAGAAAATTGAAAAAAACGAAATGACTAAGCCATTTTTGTTCTCAAAAGGAGTGCAACACAGCATTAAAGATGAAAAACAAAATACTTTAAAAGTGGTTCCTTCCATTTAAATAGACTGACACTACAATAAATCAAACGAACAAATCTCCACGTATACGAGGAACCAAATCATTTTAAACGAGGAACCAAATCATTTTAATTGCCAACTCTAGGCAAAATCCTGCACCCTTTTTAAATGCAAAAGGAAATTAAAAGTGCTCAGCATTGCTCACACTAGATCATCACTTAAAACCAGACTTCAGATCCGTGCTGACTCACAGCAGTTTGGTGGCATGCAAGCGTATTTAACAACCATTTACCACCACCCATCCCTGCAATGCCAGACACATGCAGAACAGAAATCCTCTTCTGTGGAACAACTCCCACATCTGCATTCACAGAGTATCAAATATATCTTGCAAGTGGCAAAAACAAGGTATGCAAGCACAGATGGAAAGCGAGTCGTGAAGGATTACTGCCGAGGTAAATGGACCATTAAAAAGCAAATAACGTTCCCTCGCTACAACCAAAGCTTCGTTCCTATACGGTCTCATAAAAGAAACAAAATCCTTAGGAGGAGGCAATGCCTACACTTTCTTTTGAATCACAGCCACTAATGAATCCGTGTGTTTATGCAGCAAGTCAGTGATTTTAGCTGGGCGTTCTCCTCCATCCGTAGGTCAGAACGACACGCACACCTCGGGCGAAGACTGGAAGCGTCCTTATGACTCAAAAAAGCACTTCACCCATGCACAGCAGGCGAAGATGTTCATATTCCGGGGAAACTAAACAAGAGGGCTGTGTTTGCCGGATGCCCGACTCCCTGGGGATGTCTCGAGGGCTGCCCAGGTTCTCGTGTCCAAGAGCAAGTCTATGAACTTGCAACAACAACAATATCAACGTCAGCTGCTCTAATTCCTTTAAACCACGACAACTCGATAAGCCAAAGAGCCTTAATTCATACAGCAGCAGGGGAAGGGTGGGGAAAAAAAAAAAAAAAAAGAGAGAAAAGCAACGTTTTATTGAAGCCCTCTAAAGCCCAGATGCCTATAACTCAACTCCACCGCCGGTGGCATAAAGCCTGCATTGTGCACGTCGGCTGCCGACTCTCCTGGGAATGTCTTTGATGGATTTTGACAGTATCCTGACCTGAAGTAACCTGAGGCAGCCCTCTCCCTCCACCCCCCCAGTCCAGTGCCTCCAAAGGCCTCTCTATTCACCTCCCCGCCGAGGGAGATGTAATTACATCATTCCTCACAAGCCAGCAGTCATGTCCCAGCTGCTTTGAGCGATTT